TACCCTCTTCTCCTGCTCTTGCAGCGGGGTCTCCGGGTCCGGCGGGGCGTCCACCTCGCTCTCGCTCAGCGGGATCACGTTCTGCAGGCTGGGGGAGAGCGCCGGTGTCACCGAGCGCACCCGGAGCGCGCCGACGCGGCGAGGGTGCAGAGCCGGCGGCCTCACCTGGACTTGGCAATGAGGGTTTTTATCCTTTCCACCTTCTTCTGCTTTTCCTTCATCTCTTCAGGGCTCAGCGGGGTGTCGGGCTCCAGTTCCACGTAGCGCTCGGGGATGAGGACCTTGTCCGGCGTCGAGAGCTGGGTGCAGGGGTGAGGGCTGAGCCGCGTCCTCGCGCGTGGGGCCCCGTCCGTCCCGCTCGCGACCCGCCGCGCCGGCCTCACCTCCTTGTGGATGTCGACGTCGTAGTGCTGCGGCTCCAGCTCCATCTTGCGCAGCCGGGCGATCTCCTCACGCGGCGTCTCGTACACCTTGTCGGGCTCCTCGGAGCGCAGCGCGGCCTCCAGGTCCGAGATGTCCACCTCGTGGATGCTGCGGTGCCGGCGCACCTGCGGCGAGCGCAGCCTTCATCTTTCTCTTCCTCCCTCTGCTCCCCACTGCTGCCATCCCCAAGGCCCTTGCCCAGGCGAGAGGTGGCAGTCCCTCGTCCCCAGCCCACGTGGGGACTCACCACCTTGTAGGAGGCCGGAGCGCGGGGACCCTCGGGCTGCTGGACGCCCGGGAGCTGCAGGCTTCTCCGCTTCTCCTTCACGGAGCCGCTCTGGTGCCGCTTCATGCGGTCGATCTGCTCCTCCACGCTCATCTTGGCCTTCGTCTCGGTGGCGAACACGGCGCTCTTCGGCCTCTCCTGGTGAGAGCCCCGCGGGTCACGCGTTTCCTCGCGGCACATCCCTCCGCGTGGCACGCAGCGTCCCCAACGCTGTCCCCGAGATCCCAGCAAGCGGCGCCCCGGGACCAGCCCGGCTCCCGGCACCGTTTCCGTATCCCTACCCGGGAGCCGAGCCCGTTGGCCACGCTGCTGGCGCTCCTCCGCACCACGCTGGGCACCGGTGCCGCCTCCTCCTTCGCCGGGGACTTGGTTCTGGGGGGGACGATGCCCACTGTGGAGGAAGCCAAACGCCGCCCTGAGACCTGCCCCGGGGCAGGAGGAGCCCACGGAGGAGGAATCGACCCCGTCGCCTCTGCATCCCTGTCCACACCGCAGGTCAGGCTGCAAATGCTCCCCACGGTCCCAAGGGGGACGGCAGGTCCCACGCCAGGGGCCACCGCGGCCGAGACCGGGGCCCTGCCCGCGGCCCTTACCGGGCCACCAGCCTGGCGCCCAGAGAATTCAAACCCACTGGCACGTCCTGGTGCCCCTTGTGTCGGCAGGCACCGCGTGCGCTTGCAGCGGGGTCTGTAACCATCGCGTGCTGCCCCTTTGCAGCACCTGCCTGCACGCATCCTGACCCCAGCACAGCCCCCGTGCCCTGCCCGCTGTTGGGACACCCGCCGGGTGTCCCAAGTCCTGCTTTGCCAGGTGGATTGCTCTCCAGCATGGGGGACAGCGAGGGGACAGGGAAGCCAAAAGGAGGAGGCAGCACCGTGAGCACCCCGCACCGAGCAGGAGCAGCAAGTCCCCCCGTGCCACATGCCACCCTCGGAGGGGACGGTGGCCCTGGGGTGGGAAGGGGCTCCGCGCCGAGGCGCTGCGGTGACGTTTCGGTACCTGTCCCCTCTGCGCCTCGGTGCCCGGCTGCCAGGAAGGGGAGGTGGGGTACGGCCAGAGGCGGCCCTCGCTAGGCAGCGGAGGAACCGTCGGAGGAGACTCCAGGGGAACGTAGGACTTGGGAAGGGGAGGTCGCGGCGGGCCCGGTTCCTGGGGCGGAGAGGAGCGAGAGGCGTGAGAGCAGAGGAGCTGAGGCGGGAAGGAAACCAGAGTTAGAGACAGACGGAAAGCGAAACCAGCGGAATCTGCGAGCTGGGAACAGGAGCAGGAGGAGGAGGAGGAGGAGGAAGAATCTTGCTGCCACCGGGGCGCTTGGTTTGGGCTCAGCCCTTCGCGGCCAGCTCGAGCCTCCCCATCACTCGCATCATCATCACCCTCGTGTGTGACATGTGCCGTCTGCTGCAACCCCAACCCCAACCCGCACCCATGTGACCTTCAGCACCCTCTGGGAAGCCCCTGCCCCTCGCACACGGCCAGGGGGGTCCCTCAGGCTGAACCCCCCCGTGTCACTCACCTCGCCGGGTCCCTGCTTGGTGGGCGAGCCCTGGGAGCCGGAGACGAGCGAGAAGGGGCTCAGGGGGCTGGTGAGGCTGGCCGAGCTCAGGGGGCTGGCGGGGCTGGTGGAGCTGTACGTGCCCGAGGGACCTGCGGCCACTGCGGACGGGAGCGCAAATGGGCACGGGGCCCAGTGGTGAGAGGGGGCCCCGGCGCCGCGGTGCAGCCGGCGCTCACCTCGGTGCTTGGCTGTGTCCGTGCCGCGCGACGGGTTGTTCTTCCGCAGCCCCTCCATCACGTCCTGGATGCGCCAGATCTCCTTCTGGATCTGCCGGTTGAGCATCTCATTCTGCAGGGGTGGATGGAGCGCTCAGAGCAGCTCCTCGGGGCACCAAAGCGGCCCCGAAGCTTCGGTCTCGGAGGAGCGGCCGAACTCGCCTGGATGTCCAGGTTGAGCTGCTCCCAGAGGTCGTCGTGCAGCGCGGACACCTCGCTCTCCAGGCTCTCATACTCGGCTGTGCTGTTGGCCAAGGCCTGCGCGAGGAGGAGGAGGAAGAGGAGGAAGGGTTTTGCATCTCCTCCCGGGCCAGCACTGCATGGCAGCATCCCGCAAAGCACAGGGAATCTGCTCCCAGAGCGGTGGTGGCAGCAGCGGGGCACCAGCCACAGCCACCTCTCAGATGTGCCGTGACTTCGGGAGCTCTCTGTCCCGACGGCACGAAGGGAATGGCCGGGATGGAGCCAGAGCAAGGAGACAGAGCGATGCCTGTGCCCAGGACCAGAGCAGCTAGTGCCAGTGGGAAACCAATGCCATAGGGAAGTGGTAGGAGGAGGAGGAGGGCGGTGTGGGCAGAGGAAGGCCGCGCAGGCAGCAGAGCCGTTACCGTGCTGGCCTGGGACAGCTCCACGCGGATGTTGATGAGCTGGTTCTGGAGCGACTCCTTCTTGTGCAGCAGCTTCTCCGGGTAGGCCGGCTGGCTCCCAAACATCTCCAGCTCCTGGTGCGTCCCCATGAGGGCACTCTCCAGACTCTCCTGGCGGGAACGGCGGGGTGACGCAGCCGGGAGAGCTCTCACGGTGGCCCTGGTGCCACCCTGGGCTCAACCCAGCTCTGTCCTTGGGGACCTGGGGCAGGTCCTGCAGCAGAGCCTCTCCTTATGCGTGCACCATTAATGCATGGGAGCATTGGGTCTGTGGCATGGCCAGGTTGCCCCTGTCCCTTCCTTGTCACCACGGTGCCACCTGGCCATCGCTCTGCAGCAGAGAGGCTGCATCCTCGGCACCCCACGCGCCCCACGTACCTTCTCAGCGCGGAGCTGCTGCACCAGCCGCTCCTGCTCCCGCAGCACCTTGTTCTGCTCGCAGAGCTTCCCCAGGAGCTTCTGTCCCCGCGCGCGAGAGAGGGAGGAAGCGCGATCAGAGCGGGCAGCACCGGCCGCTTGTGCAAACGGGGCTGCGCGTGGTGCTCGCTCGGCCGGAGCCAGGACCCCGGGGAGGGGACGGCCACCCCGGGACCGAGTGGCCGGCCAGCACCTGAGCCGGTGACAGGGCAGTGGGGAGGGTTTCCAGCCTCCCAACCCCAGAGATGCATCCCAAAACCGAATGCGGGGCAAGAACGCGCAACGGAGCTCGGAGCAGAGCGCGGTGGGGGACAGTGGGGACCAATGGTGGCTCTTACGTCTGTGTCTTGCTCGCTTATCTTGTAGGTGTGCAGAGTCTCCCTGTAGGCTTCTGGGAAGGGTGTCACCTGCAAGGACAGTGACGGGTGAGCGCTGCCCCAGCTGCGCTGGCACTGGGACTGCCCCTGTCCCAAAACGGGGCCAGGAGAGGCATCGATGGGGCTCCGCTCCCATGGCTGGGAACCAAAGCGCTTGGAGCAAAGGTTGGAGAGCTGGAGCCGCTCCCTGTCCCCAGCTCCAGCACAAATGGGGAGCAGGAGGAATTCACCGGGGACAAACTCGTTGCAAGACGCCAAAAGTTCAGCTAAGAGCTGTCCTGGGGATTTCTAACCATCTGGAGGGCCACAGCCTCCATCTACCAGGCAGGCGAAGAAGATCAAACCGCGATCCCACTGCACAGAGCTGAAGCACCTACAAATGAGCAGCCGCAGGAAGGTCTGTTCACCATGCAGCTTTGCACTGACTCATTTTCCTTTCCTGGAAATCTAAATTACTAATGGGACTCCAGCAATTAAATGCCTCCGAGATCTCGAGATGAAAGGCCTGAGATAGGAAGAAGGGCATCGTTATTGCTAGAAATCAAGACGCTCCTCTGGAGCGATTTAAAACCAGGGGACGATGCAAATAGACCCAGACCTGGGAAGTGCCCAGCCTGGCTGGAGGCAGCGTCTGGCGCGGGCGGCTCCGCTCTCGCCCTCCAGCTGCTCCCTGCTCCGCTGGCATCACCCGCTCGTCACCCCGTTGGGTGCCCGACCACCACGTGGACACACAGCTGAGAGACACCCGGGATCTCGCCCCACGTGTGGGCACATCCCATCGGAATCCCGCGATCCGAGCGGGCTCGGGGCCCCTGCGCCGGCGGCGTGTGATGAGTGCGCATGAGTGATGTGACCTGCCCCGCTCCGGGGCTGCTCCTGCGGCTCTTGCCGTGCTCCAAGCGGGAGAACTTGCTTGGGGCTGGATTCCTCCCATCCAAAGTGAGCCCTGCCCTTCTCCGCGCTCAGAGGCTGGCGGAGGGCGAGCAAAGTGCCCGAGCCCAAGGCAGAGAGTTCAGCGCTTCCCAACTTGTGCTTCCCGGACAAGGATCTAGGGGGTACTGGAATGGCTCATGGATGGTTAAGCGAAGCCTGCGATGGACTAGCGTGTCCCCAAGCGTGGGATGTGCCGGAGCCCTATGGATGCTGGATGAGCGGCAATGCCGGAGGCGAGCTGGCGGATGGATGGCGTGGGGGCTGCCGGGCTCGGCCCCGGAGACGCTTACTTGCATGTAGAGCTGAGCCCTAGGGGAAGAGCTCTCCACCATCCTGTTCACCATACTGATCAGGGTCTCGCTCTCGCTCATCTGCGGCACACAGGGAAGGAAACGGCAGAGTCAGCGGCGCCGCCGCGGCCCCCGGGCCCCGGCTGCAGCGCGCTCGGGTGAGCCAAGCTCCGGCCAGGGCACCAGACCACACGGTGCCACCTCCAAGAGATGCCCTAGGGGCTC